TCTATCTATCTATCTATCTATCATCATCATCTATAGTCTTTTTTAGGTCCCATAATACATGAGGTGGTTTACAAAAAGTCCATGGAAAATGGAGTTTAAAAGTGGGATTTTCTTATGAGCTTTTTTGAGCCTTGTATTTTGATGACATGGAATTACTCTTTCAAATCAACATCCAAAGTAAACTCTAAACACAATAACACACTTTGGACATGTTGTCAAGAGAGGCCAGTCCTTAGAGAGGGACGCCACACTCTGTGCAGTAGAGGAGCGTGTAAAAGAGGGAAGACCTCCCATGAGATGGATTGGCACAGTGGCTACCACAAGGGCTTCAAATAAAGAACGATTGTGAGGATGGCACAGCGCCAGGCAATGTTTCCTTCTGTTGCACAGAGGCTTGCCAGGGGTCACAACACACTCAAAGGCACCTAACAACAACAACAACAAAAAGAACATGGTATTCCAAGTGGCTAGCGTTAACTTTTACTTTCTGCCTCATAAAGGAGCTCAGGTATGGTTGCAGCATAAGCATGGGGCTACTAACCAGAAGGTAGGTGGCGGTTCAAAACCCACCAGCTGCTCCACTAGAGAAAGAAGCCATTCTGCTCCCATCTGCCCTGCCTTGTAGTACGGCTGTGAGTTAGAACTCTGTCAACAGCAGGGGTTTAGTGTTTGCTTGGTTCTGATTCACAGGCATGGAATGCATTTGAATGGCATCCTTTGTTATAAATGGGTAAACAGAAGCTCTCGAAGGCTGCTGTCAAGGTCATTCCAAGTCACACCGAAGTCAGAATGACAAATACCTTTGGTGATTTCCCTAAGTATCTTCAAATCAAAATAACTAACATTTTCATTTTAAAAGAGAACAAAGGTAATTGAGATAGTTCATTCTGCACCGGGTATATAAAGCCTTCACTAGATGTTGAATCAATAACTAGATGTGACTCATAGCACCTATAGGACGGAATAAAATTGCTCCATAAAATTTCCAAGTACATCTTCACAAAAGTTCAACTGTCATCTTTCTCCTGCATGTTAGCTAGTGGGTTCGAACCACAGACCTTTCAATTAGCAGTTCAAGTTTAAATCCCTGCACCATCAGGACTCCTTTATCATGTGTATATGTTGTCATTGCTGTTAGAAGCTATCCAGCTTGTTCCAACTCATGGCAATCATACGCATAAAACAAAAACACTGCCAGGCCCTGGGCCATCCTGGGCCACATTCGTTACTGTGCTTGAACGCACTGTTGTAGCCACTGTATTAGATGGTTTTGTTGAGTGTGGTCCTCTTTTTCTCTGGGTGGTAAACACAACTGTTTATTTTACAGACAAGACAATTCAGAACTCATCTCTTAAATGAAAGATCTTAAAATTACTTGTCCAAAACTTTTTGGGGTTAGCCAAGGCATGAGCTCTGTCATGTTAAAGCAAGTGGCCGAAGACACAGTACCCAATAAAGCTTGCAAGCATGTAGTAACTTTTTATTTTGCATAGGAGCATATAAAATATTTCAACATTATTCAGGGTGGAATTAAAACACATTTTCAAAGAAATGTTGGTCACAACTTCAGGGAGTGATAAGTGATTTAAACATTAGTTTAATTTTGCAACCAACTGTGTTTAGCATACTGTACTTGAATAAAACAAATAAAACAATTTTATGTAAGAGATTAATATTTTAGTAGTATATTTTAACTGTTGCTCACAGCTACCCAATTACAGCCTGATACTATGATAAAAGAGCTCTGGCAAGATTCCCTTTGTTTTACAAACTAATGCAAATAAAGAAAACAAGTCATAATGTCCTGTACTAAAGAGGCTTTTTTTTTTTTTTCCTTTTCCCTACTGGGATGAGGTGTTTTCCAGTTCTCGCTCAAGCATTTAATTTCGGTTCTGGAAATGGTTATGCTGTGCCCCTTGCTAGCGAGGAGCAGATAGTATTAGCAGCTTGCAGTTTGTTTATGGAATAATAAAGATCACCATACTCATTTAGTGTTAGGAATATGGCCTGATTCCCCTGAATATTATTTTCAGTGAAATCCAGAAACTGATTCTCCGGCTGCCCTTCCGGTCTCTGTCACTCTCCAGCTGCTTTCTCCATTGGATTCGGAGTGATTCTGCAGGACAGGGAGGCCTGGCCCTGCGGGTTCGAGACTCTCACTCTTCATGGGCGTGGAAAGCCTTCTCTTTCTCCTGTGGAGGGGCTGGGGGTTTCTGATTGCCTCTCGTGCGATTAGCAGCCCAACTGTTAACCGTATGTTACTAGGGCTCCTTTGGGGAATATAACTTCTGTTCAAAAGGAAATAAATGTACTTTGCGAAAGCTAATCTCAATATTGGACTGTGGATCCACACGCACCCACGCACTGCACATTTTAGAGGGTGCTTTGTTTACTGGAAGGTAACTGGGGTGTGGCCTCAAAGATGTCTCGGGTTATTTTCAGTTCAGACACTTCATGATGAAAATGGGAAGGGTGAGTGGAATGTGTTAACTGTGAAAAGCCAGGAAGATAGCTCCTCCCAGCACACCTCTTCTCCTTTATGGGCACAAGACGGAAAGAGTGACTGTCTTCATGCCTGGCCTTCCTGGAAGTAGTGACGTGAATGACATTTTCCTACAGGATTTCAAAAGGAGAAGCAGTGTTGATTTTGTGGGTCATCTTTTCGTTTCCAACTTCCTAAAGACATGGAGGGCCGGTGGCACTACTCCATAGACTCTCCTGAGATGGGATCTATGGAAATGGATCCGCTGGTCATTTTTCTCACGGAGCGGCTGACGGGCTTGAGCTCGATCGTTTCCCACCCAACCAGAAGGTTCCTTTAGGGGGCGTATCAGGAAACGGCTGTGGGTCAGAGACGAAGGAGTCTAATGATTCTACCTGCTGCTGGAGCAAACAGATAACAAAGCATGTGGCCCTCCCGTCCTGTGTAATCATGGTGACCCCACGCTGATTCCGGGACTCCAGGAGGGACCAAGCAAGCAGGTGCTGGTCAGACCATGCTGATGCATGATGCCCCCTCCCCACCCCCGTGTCTCGGAGTGGCTGTTTCGCATAGGTTTGCAGTGGGTGAATTTTTTTTTGGAAAGGACATCATGGTTTTCAACCATAGTGTCCCTTTAGTGGATTCAAAGCATCAATATTTCGATTCCTGTAGCACCCACAGACTCCGCAGAGGAGGGTACAGGGCACTACTTTTCCTGTGCAGCTTCCTCCGTGTCCTTCTTTTACACGAAGGCACGCATCGTCAGGATCCAGATAGGCGCACGTTCACTTGGCACAAACGGCCCGCATTCCACCATCTATGAAAGGTTAGTGGCTCGAATCCCCTCTGCAACGCCCCAGAAGACAGGCCTGCCAGTCAGCTCCACGGAAGATTGCAGCCGGGCAAGCCCTATGGAGGAATTCTGCTCTGTAGCACACGGGACCCTCATGGATCAAGATGGACTGAATCACCAAGGAAATAAATTGATAGCAGGCATGAATGCCTGGTAGATGCTTGCAAGTATTTGTCTACGCTCGTGAAGAGTTAAGGCCTCAGAAACCGCCGGACAGTTCTCTGCTGGCCTCGAGGGTGGCCACGGGTCAGCCAACTCCATGGCGGTGAGTCTTGGCTGAGAACCGCGACTCGAGTGCCTTCCTTACACAGTCAGAAGAAATGGTCAGCTCTCTTCCCAAGGACTCGATGCTACGAATTCGCCATTGTGTCTTTGATGAGCAGGGCACGCTAAGGAGATCGTAGGCCATTTTGCCAAGTTCTCAGCACTTTCCCCTTTCATTTGTTTTTAGAGTAATGAAATGAGTACTTCAACAGGATGCTTGTTCCAAAACGTGTAGGTCAGTTTGCTGCTGTGAAGGAAAGTATTCTGATGTTCAAAACACAGGGTTCTTTAGGCAAACGACATGTGACCCCAGCCTTTGGAAGTCAGGACCAGCCCCGGCAACCCCTTCACAGAGACAAACACTGCAGGACAAACTCGTGTTATGTGCAAGTCATCCCGAGGAAAGACGTCTGATCCAAGCTAATTTGATTGCTTAACTTCTTGGCTCTATTAAGTGCTGATAGGCAATTAAAAGCAACTTAATCCTCTCCTCCCTTTACCACTTAGCAAAGCAGTATTTCAGCTCTTCGCCATGAAGCTAATTTGCTCAGACATTTCCCAGCATATATTTGAATTTAAAAAGAAAAAAAAATCACCCAGAGAAAGTAATTAAAGATCATTTATGTCTTTAAATTAAAGATACCTTCTTGTCTTAGTGAGACCATACATTGGGAAAATATTACAAAGTTGAAGCAATTATCTCTGAAAGTTGGGAAATATGGCTTTTAGAAATCATGACAAAGTCACTGTTTCCTCAGTAATTGGAAGAATATTGAGCTGAGCTATCGAAGCATCTGCCTCCACGGTCCGCTTAGCTGCTACTCATGGTTTGTGATAACCAACCCCGCGTGGAGCTTCGCTGTGCTCTGGGCAGGTAACGTATTCGCTCATTGAAAGTGTGCCTGCATTTCCTTGACTCCAGATTCTCCATGAGATGATGGAAGAGATTGACTATGACCACGATGGCACTGTCTCTCTGGAGGAGTGGATCCAAGGAGGAATGACGACAATTCCACTCCTGGTGCTCCTGGGCTTGGAAAATGTAAGCATCTCCCCCCTCCGCCCCATCGCCCCCACCCCCCACCCCAGGAGGGTACACTGGTTTCTTGACTCCCATTTCCTTTAAATATTGAACAGATCATTTCCTACTATTCTGCATGTAAGTGGGTGCCTGGGCTTGTTAGTAATTATGCCTTGGAGTGATTTTACAATAACTCCTGGTGTGGTCATACCATGGAACTATTGATGAAGTTTAGCTGCTACCTGAAGATTTAATATGGAACATTCACATCTCATTTGCCCTGATCAAAAGGCAATCTTGTTTTTAAAGGAGCTCTGATGACACCATGATTGTCAAGCCTTGGCTGCAAAGCAAAAGTTAACACAACAGGTTTGGATGTAGTAGTCTTCTTCCACAAAGCTTCCAGCCTCCGTAACCCTATGGGGCAGTTCTACACCGTCCTATAGAGTCACTATGATTCAGAATACATTTAAGACCAAGGAGGGTTTTTTCCTGTTTTTTTTAAATGAATAGATAATTGATTTTCTTATATGACTTTCTGCAAGAGACTTTCAACCCCGATAGTATTGACTTTGGGGTTCTTGTGCCATTCCATTGCACTCCACCTTGGGTTCGCAACTCAGTGTGTGATCCAAGAGAGCAGTTGACCTCCTGTTCCAACTTCTCGCTACAGAGCAAACCAATAAACCTCACTGCTAGCGGGGCAATTCTGACTCACAGTGGCCCTATAGGACAGGGTAGTGCACTACCCCTGTTGGTTTCTATGACTTTGAC